CCTGTCATTACCCAAGTCTTGGCTTTGGCTATTTTGTTTCATAAACATTTTCTTTCTTTCTTTTTTTTTTTTTCAAAAATAGTGTACTGTGTATGTACTACTTGGAAAGATTAGGTCATATGGATGACATGCAAAAAGAAAGAAAACTTAAATGTTTGTTGTGCAGCCTTCAGACTTTGTGTGTGTAAAATACTGCTTTTGCCTATTTTTAACAAAATGGGAGTACTTTTTACAAATATTAGTGTAACTGATTTTTTGCTTAATAACATGAATTTGTGGACAACAATTTTTAGTGGTTGGATAGTATTCCTTTAATAAATCAGTCACATGTGGGCACATGTTGAGGTTGTTTCCACTTTTTCACGATTGTCAACAATGTTCTAGGTAAAAGCTGTACACATTCATTCATTATTTTTTAGGATGAACTCCTAGAAGTGGGACTATGGTGTCAAAGAGTGCCAGCATTTTGAAGTCTTGCTCTGTTGTCAAGTTGTCCTCTGGAGATCATAGCACTATTTCCTCTTACCCCTTTCCCCTTCAGGCCTTTATGGCTCTTTCCTGGGTTCAGCCAGCACATCTCCCCAACTCTGCATTCTCCCTCCAGGTGGTTTATCATTCCTCTGCTGGATTAAATAGTCCGAAGAACAATTTCATCATGTCTACAAATTTCAGACCCTTGTCTGCCATCAGGACACAATCAGCATGCCTTGCATTGCACTTGCCCTCACTCCACACCCACATGTCTTGTGGTTCTTCATCTCTGGCCTTCCTTCTTTGGTTCCCGGCTTACCATCTGCCCCTTGGACCAGTTCTTGGGGAGTGAAGATTGCATTTCCCCAGGAGTATTCCTAGCACTGGTTTGTGTCCAGCACATAGCGTGAGCACCAAAGCCCCACTGTGGCTGTTCGCCTCTTCTTCCCCCACCGCCCATCTTACCTTGATCACACCTTCCCTCTCCTGCCAGACTCATTGCTACATGTGCACTTGGTCACATCTTCCCTCTGATGTCATGTGTTCCTAATTTTCCTATCTCCTCCTTTGTCTCATTAGAACAATAATCTTTTCATCCTCTGAATTCATTGAGTCACTTATCTCCAGTCTCTTATAGTACTTATGACCTTTTCCATAGTATCATGGTTTTTCAGTGTGTATTCTCTATGGAATTTTAAGCATCTCCAGGTTTAGAGCTACCCCTTATGAAGTTGGGAAGGGGTGGGGTGGGAGACCGAAAGCTGTGCTACTATAAAGAGGCACTGTGATCATTTTGGTATGTATCCCTCCAGGATCTTTCTATGTATATGATAGATATATAATCTTACATTATTGTAGGTTTAATCCACTTTTAATCCCTTTCCTCTTTGGCTCAGTATGTGGTAGTGGTCCGTGTGTTTTCACTACTTTACCTGGACTTCAAAGGAGTTGCCAAGTTGCTGCTATTACAATTGGCTGTAAAAAGGAGGAAAACGGCTCTCATTTGGAAAACAAAGATGACTTACCTGTGGAAAAAATACAATAAAGATAAAAATAAATAAGTGAGCCAATGAACATATGCAAATGTTTCTAAGCAATTAACATGAAATGCCTTTCACTTATATAGCAAATAAAGATGAACCTGAATCCGCCCCCCCCCCCCCCCAAAAAAAAATGACTTACCTAAAAAAAATCTCTGGTAGCAGCAGGACCACAAAGTAGAGGAGTTAGAGACCTGATTTCCGAGCTGCGGGCCTTTGAAAACGTGACTTCTGCATTTGTGTCCCTGTAAGCTGACCCATGTCTCACTATTAGTTGTTGCAGGTGAACACTAACGTCATATACTTTTCCTAAGAGACTAGACATAGGGTTCATCAGAGTTGCATGATCCACTTTAAAGGGTGTCTGACATTGGCAAAGAAGTTTAGGGAGTGGAGGGTGGAAAAGGGAGTGAAGTGAGCTCGGCAGCCAGGTCTGAACTTGATTAAGCTTGTATTCTTTGTTGTAATTTATGCTAATACCCATTAAATCTGTAAAGTAAGGCTGAAGTTCTGTTTATATGAAAAACATATATAAATGTTTTGAGCTATCTTGCTGTAAATGAATATGGTACTATATAATTACTCTGATAGCCTTCTAGTCAGATTACCTAGAAAATCCAAAATAACCTTGATGAACAGTAAGGCATTATGATTTCATGGTTCATCTGTATACCTCCTACATAGATGTATAGTACTTCTATCTGACAGGATTACCAAATTACACACCTTTTTGGTGTCTGTAACATGCCTAAAATACCAGAGTGTTCACGGCCCGTGATGGTAACGAAACCACTTTGACATCGCCAGAGGAGGATTTATTCACGCGCATGGATAGCCTTTAGGTTTCTTGTGCCTCTTTGAAAGAGGTAAAGTGCTCTTTTTGTTCTATTTAAGCATTTCTTTATTCAGATTGTATAATTTTTTAAATGTCCCTTTTCCAGATAATAATACACTGTGTGATTCACTTTTAACTAACCTAAAGTCTGTGCCGGGATAATTTAGCAAATAGGATTGTTTTCTGCCTTTTACTTGCCTGCAAGTTGGACTTGTGAGAGGCGTGGCTGTGGGGTGGCTGGCGCCTGCGCAGAGCGGTCCTGGGGCGGGAGGAGGGGCGGCGAGAAGGAGGCGGACAGTCAGAAGCAGAATTGGTCTTACTCTCTCTAACTTTCCAATTTTTTATTCTTTATCTTTGGATAGTAGAATCATCAACTCTCTCAGTTCCCAGGTTAGACGTCTTGGGAGTGACTTGGCCGGTTTCCTGGTCGTCAGCCCCTGGCGTCCGGTGGCTGCCAAGTGGAGCCCCATTCCTGCCCCGCCTGCGTCTCTCCCCGCTTTCCTCGTGTTTCAGTCCTGGTGGCCCAGCGCCGGTTCAGAGCTCCTGTCCCAGCTGCCAGGCTCTCTCCCACTCTTGTCTTCCCTGTGTCAAATTCGTCTTCCACGACCTTCAGTAACTTCTCACTGCCTGCCACAAAGTCAGGATTCTCTAAGTTGTCGTTTAAGGGCCTCCATAGGTGGCTGTCATTACAGCTCAAGCCACTCGTTGCTCCTTATGACCAACATCCTTCTCCAAACACAGCATTCGTCATAACTTTGCTCTGTTCTTTCCTCAACGTGTAACGTCCTCTCTCCACCCTTCTCTGTTCTCTCTGTCTTCCAACCCCAGTTGGAAGTCTCGGTCAGTGCAATGGAAGCCAGGACGCTTGGCTCTCAGGCCAAAGTGCCAATAGCCAATTGTTCACTTCATGCTTGTCATTAAGTTCTTCTAGTTTTCTCCAAAGTACAGTGGAGAGGTTGAAGTAGACGATCTCTAAGGTCTTTTCAACTTCAAAAATGTGTTCTTTGAATGCCAGACCTCCACGAAGCATTCCCCAGTTCTTCTAGGCAAAATAAACCACTCCTTTTGTGCCCCTCAGTGCTTTATTTCTGCTTTTGCTTTGACCCTCAGCTCTGGCATTCTGGTGGGTATGTGTGAACGTGACTGCTTCTTGTTGCCCCAACTGGTTGTAAACTCCTTTTGGCCTGCCAGGAAGGTTTGACTCCAATTCCCTTCTCTCCCCACCACTACCCACCCTTGGTCTTGAACACAGATTTTCAGTGAGACAGACTGTTACAGTAGAGGTTAGAATGTTCTGGGCAAGTGTTCTTCTGTAACACATGCTGTTCTTGAATGTCCCCATGCACTTGTAAGGATGGTTTTGGGTAGCAAATGACAGAGATAGTGTATTGAACAACCAGGAGTTTTTACTTTCATTGCAACATTGTTATAATCAGGTGACATTCTGGGAACAGCTGAGTTAGCTTTGTAACACTTTGCATAAAAATATGTTCTCTCAGGTGTTTAGAAGTGAGTAAATGTTCTGTGAAACATAGGAACGCACTCCTGTTTTCTCCTTCTCTCTATAACGTCCAGAGACTTGGACTATCTCATTGTATCATTGAAATAGTTTAACATACAAAATAGAAAAGGTTTTGTGGATTCGTTTACTTCTTCAAAGTTGAAGTATCTCTGCCCTGTCATACTCTCCCTAACAGATACATTTCATCATATCAAGGCCTTTCTCAGAGACTTTCAATCACTCCTTGCTTCCTCAAGAAGAATGCCCAGGCCCCTTTCTATCTTGAGGCCCATCTCTGGACTTGTTCTTGCAATCTCATTTCACTGTGTTCTCTTTTATGCACCCCATCCATGGTACAGACGAAATCAGTTCCTCACCATTTTTCTGGTACATTCCCTCCCCAGCTTTTCTTGCACCTGCCTTCCTGCAGGTGTGTCCTTGCTGGAAGTACCCTCCCTTTTACTTGTGACCACATACCTGAGTTGCATTCATTTCTCAAGACTCAGCTCACATTCCATTTATGCAACAAAGCCTTCTTTGATTTCCTACCAGAATTCTGCTGTCATACTCATATCTTATGATTTGTTTTTCCTGTATACTATTTTCACACTGGTATTATCTGCCTTACTAGGCTAGAAGTTCCTTGGAGGTCACATTTCTTGTCTGACTTGCCTGTGTTCTGCTCCCTTCCCTAGTATCATCCCTACTTTAATCCACGTGTGGTCAGTAGATATCAGTAATGAACGAATCTCTGTGAACATTTTTACTTGGTGTATGGAGGTATTAATGAATGACAGAGCTGCTCTGTTTGTGCTGTTGTACAATCACATCTTCATCTAGAGTATCTACGCTTTAATTCTGGAATCTAACAGTGTGCCGAAACAAAAGTGATGTGTTGGGTAAAACAGTTACTTACATTTGAAATTAGGATACATCTACTGTGTCACCATATCCTCCACCCTGTTGTGTCTTTCAGATTCTGCAGGTAATTTCAGTCCGCTGTGTATAAAAGGAAATGCTGTTTGTAAATGTTTTAGGTGTGAATTGTATTTTTTGACAGTAACACTTTCTTTTTTTCCTTGGTGCATATTTGTGTATGCTTTTATTTCCCACAGCTACTGACCTTATGCTTTGTGCTTGTTTTGTGTTGCAGATTGATATCCTTCCAAGAATTTGTAGCATTTGAATCTGTCCTGTGTGCACCAGATGCTTTGTTCATGGTGGCCTTCCAGCTGTTTGACAAAACTGGCAAAGGAGAAGTTACTTTTGGTAAGGGCATGAGTGTGTGCACACCTAAGTAAGTGCAAGCTTGTGTGAGCATTTTTTTTTTCTGGAATGAAATGTATGAAAGTGCTGTTATGAAATCAGCATATCCCTTTTAACAAAGCTATCAGTATTTGGGGGCTGCAGTACAACTGTATCCCTGTTGGAAAAAAAGAAGTTTCTGGCTTAGTGGTTCAAAAATACTCTGGCTTCATTGTAAAGCGAGGGAGGATGTGGCAGGACCTTCCCTCAGAGTCGCGGAACGTGGGAGCTGGATGGAACTTCTGTTCGTTCCCTTCACAGTCAGCAGCGCTTTCTTCCCACTGACCGAAGGAGGAAGTTCATCAGCTGCCTGAGAACAGAAGTTACTGGTATTACAGGATTTTGGGTCCTGACCTTGTCTCGGGGTAGTTTGAGGCCAGAGGCTCTGTGCGAGGTGGCAGTTCCGAGTCCCACGCGAAGAACCTTGCCCTTCTAAAGAGCCTGGCCCCCACGGCTGGGTGGGCACTGCCTGCCATGCTGCATTCATCAGTTTCAAAAGGCACAATGATCTTCATGGGATTAGCTGCAAAGCTGCAGAAAACCCTGAGGTCTTTCAAGTATTAGAAGAGAGGGAAGGCCAGGAAGTGGTGGGACAGTAGTAAGTTCAAGCTTAAAAAGAAACTGGCTACTGAAGCTAGATTTGACAGAGAGTACCGCATTTCCCTCGGACGGCGGAGTGTCTGTCCAGCGAGTGTTGTCTGCGCTCAGGGACGTGCTCTACCAGCACTGCCCACGAAGAATTCGAAGCCCTCGGGGGCATACGGATTGTGTATTCAGGGGAGATGGCTAGTGAGCCCATTTTAAATGCCTTTATTCATGATTTCCAGTTTATTCAGACCTTTGGGCCTGTCTGATGTGATGGATTGTGAGAAACATACAGATGGGGGTAAGTACAAATGGTGTGATAGAGCACCTTCCATTCTGGAATGGTTCTGGAACGGTTGCGGAACCGGAGAGACTGAGCCACCTCCAGCTCTGCCACTTTCGTCTCTGAGCCAAGTTCATTGTCCTCTCAGGCCTTCATTTTCCTTATCAGAAATGAAGATAATAACTACCTATGGTATAGGTGAGACAGTATCATTGGTTTACCCTAGCAGCCTTCCCCCTCTCCCGCCATCTCCTCTGTGTTCATTTGACATGACGGTTATTTAAGGCTAGATAAGTGAGGGCAGAGGCAAAACACATGTCTTTGCAGGGCTTTATTTCATATAATCTGCAAGCTCACGTGTTTTCCATTAACACTTCATGAAGTTTATTTAATATTTAAAAATCCCGTGCATAATTTTAGTTTTTTCTTTTCTGCCACCTAATTCCTCTTAGCATCACGGTAACCACAGCTTTTCAGAGGCACACCAATGAAAAATGTCCCCATTAAATTCTTTAAGTAATAAATGAGCAGCTAGCTCACGGTGGCATTGATTTACCCAGTGGAAGCTAGTTTGATGAAAATGTTACGGTCACATTTCCTTGGGACACAAAAGCGAGCCTGCGAGGTCAAGGTCAGCGCAGCAGGTGTGTTCTCTCTCGTCTTCCTCCTTCCTACAGCACGTTTGCAGGGCGAGGGCTGGGGACTGAGGAATGGGCCTCCGACGTTTTCCTTGGTTCAGATTCATATTCCCTGCATGGGCATGAAGTGGCAAGGGATGCTGGGGACACCAGCCACACCACTGGCCTGGCGGAAGAAAGAAACAAGGGACACCAGCTCAGGGGCAGACGGGCATGTGTGTTGGTGTCACTAGCCCTTTAAGAAAAGAGCAGGTGGAGAAGCAGGATGTAGGAGACAGGAGTCCTTCTGTGAATTGTAGAAAGAACAGTGGTGTGAGGACGCTGTTTCTGCTTCTTACTGGCAGTTTGTAGATGGGCAAGTCATTTCAAATTCCTGAGCTTTATTTTCCCCATCTGTAAAATCAGGGTCATAACCTACCTTACAGAATGTGTATTAAAAGATTTTCCAGATACAAAGGTGCTGTCTGGAAAACAAGGGCCTTTACAAAAAAATAACATTGCTGGCCCTGGCTGGGTAGCCCGGTTGGTTAGAACATTGTCCCAATACACCAAGGTTGTGGGTTCGATCTCCAGTCAGGCACGTAGAAGAATCGACCAATGAACGCATGAATAAGTGGAACAACAAATCAGTGTTTCTCTTTCTTTCTCTCCCTCCCCCTCTCCCTTCCTTTCTTTCTAAAATCAATCACTAAAAATCTAATACTATTGCTAAAAGAAATAACTTGAGAGAACAAGGGAAGGGTCTTCCTCCTCCTCATTCTCTTCTTCCTCCTCTTTCTCTTCCCCTCCTGCTTCCCCCCTCTCCGGCCCTTTCTTCTCCCTCTTTTCTCCTCTTCCTTCTTCCCACCTTTGTTTTTAGCTTGCAGTTTAACAGATGGTAACTTGCTTACCAACGGTTCTGTGTTGAACATTGCCCCATTTCTGAAGTCTTAAGAGATTGAAATAAGAAATTGGGGCTTCCACGGAGCTGAAATTCCTGTCACATCATTAGTTGCATATGACTGTTGTAGAACAGTATACAGCTGCTCTCCCCGTACTTTGCCTTCCACAGGTGATTTGCGTCATAGTCTGCCTCTCTCACAGGACATGAGCAGGGTATATCCTGTATCCATCTGATGAACGGGTATGTCCTGTATCCATCTGCCTCTCTCACAGAACATGAGCAGGGAATGTCTTGTATCCATCTGATGGGATCCTTACCCTGTGGGTGTCATAAAATGTCCCTTGGGATTTTCTAAAGCTCTTAATCCCTGTTTAGGATTAAACTGAAATAGTACAGAGAAGATACCCAAATGACCATCCAATCCAAACTCATAGGTGACTTCCAACATTGTTCATAAGGTAGCGCAGAGGCGTCCACTGGAGAGGGTGTCGTGTGCAACAGGCTTTTGTCCAGGCAATCCAGATCATGGGGCTGGGGGCCCAGGGACCGTCTAGGGAGTGTTTGTTTCAGCAGCAGAGACCTTTTAGAAGAATCAAGCAATTGGTAAATTTTCCAGGAAACTCATAATGGGGTTGAAGAAATTTTTTTAAAAAGTGGAGTTGGGCAGAGAAAAAGACTTGCCTATGCCTACGCAGTCCTTGTCTCAGACCCCCAGTATTAAGAGAGTCCCAGTGCATGACCTGGCTGCCTGCCCTGTGAGGCTCTTCGAGGTACATGCAGTGGCACTCTTACCTCTGGCTACTTCCTCAGCTCCATGTCAGTCCTGAGCCCAAGATTGACCCTTTCGTATTTCAGAGGGTTGGGTGCATCTTTGAGTGGGGTGAGCATGGAGTGGTAAGAGAGGAAGGGCCGCTTCTTACCTCTCAGATGGGCTCAGTCATTTGGGGTCAAGGGGTGAGCATTGTTTCCCCACTTTACGGAGGCTTACCTGGGGCATTCCTGTGCCCTGCTGAGAAGGCTGGTGTGTGGCTGCAGATCCCCCAGGCCTCTCCTTCTTGGATCCCACCTAGAGGAGCGTGGTCACACTGTTCACGTTCATCTGTTTATGCGTTGGGTTTCCACGTGAGAGCTTGTGGGAAGCAGGGCTTCTCTGACGAAGCCCAGGAAGCAGCAGTGTTTGCCAGCAAGCCAGCAGTGTCTGTGCCCCATGGATGCTGACCCTGGTGCTCAGCAAACAGAAGTCAGGTAGGGTGAGGGGCAGATCCTCAAGTGTCACACTTCAGTGACATCTCTCCCCATTTCCTCTGAGGCCTTGTTCACCATGTTGTCATGTCTAGATCACTCCTTGTGTTGGCTGCAATGAAAAGTCTTGATTAGGTCAGTTTTGTTCCTTTGATCTAGTTCATTAGGTCCTCCTATTTCCTTTGAGGCAAAACCTACCTCCAATATTCTTGTTTTTACCACATTTTCTTATTTTGATAGCCCATATTTATAAATGCATTTTGAGATCAATAGGTATACAATAGGATATCAATGTAAGTAGAAAATTTTAGTCAACAATGTGCAATTCCATATGTGTAGAGAAAATATATTTTGTTCTAAATGTTTCTTTTTGCATTTTTTAGCCTAACAGTGATTTTAACCATGATAATAATTTTTTACTCTTAATTTTTAAAGTATACTTTATTAAAATATAGCAAATATAAGGAAGAAGGCACCAATGATAATACATCTTTTTAAAAATTCTCACTCAAAGACATGCCTATTGATTTTAGAGAGAGGGGAAGAGAGGGAAAGAGAGGGCGAGAAACATCAATGTGAGAGAGAAACATTGATGAGTTGCTTCTCCCATGCACCCCAACTGGGGACCGAATCCACAACCTAGGCATATGCCCTGACTGGAATTGAACCCGTGACCTTTTGCTTTACATGATGACACCCAAATGACAGAGTCACATCCTCCAGGGCTATAAGTGTACGTTTGATGAATCTTTGCACAACGTATACACTCGTTTTAACCCCCTCGAGCCCAGAAAGAAAACAGAACCCGTGCCCTGAAGTTCTCCTCCCCATCACTGACCCCAGGCCCAGTGGTACTGACTCCTGGGTGTCACTGTCAGTTGGTTTTGCTGGTTTGAAACTTATCATATTTTTAGGACTATAAGACACACCTAGGTTTTAGAGGAAGAAAATAGGGAAAAAATTTCTGAAGCAAAAAATGGGATAAAATATTTAATAACCTGTGACCCTGCTCCACTGCCACCCCCCCACCCCACAGCAAGACAGGTAAGCTACATTTGGATTATAAGACGCACCCCCGTTTACCCCCAAATTTGGGGGGTGCACCTTATAGTCTGAAAAATACAGTAACTAGAAATGGAACAGTACAGAATGTACTCTTTCTTTCCTACTTCTTTTGCTCAAATTTTATTTGTGAGATTTATTCAAGTTTTTGGTGTACTTGTACTTTATTCTTTTTTCTTTACTGTATAGAATCCCATTATGTGAGCTTTTCCTTAATTTATTTACCTATTCTCAATGTCGATAGACATTTGCAGATTTCCAGTTTGGCTGT